GCTACAAGTGAAGAGCCGATGTAATCAACGATATACCGTAAAACGCAGCGAAAATAAAAGCTCGTTTCGCGGACGAAACGTATCGGAAAAGCGAAGTTTTTATTTTGCATAGATATCACGTCAGCGGGACGGAGATGTGTGTACAAGCGCCGAGATGATTCTCAGTACGCTGTCACGCAAGCGATTGCGGAGATCTCGCCGCTTGACGTTGCGCCGCGCGAAAAAGCGACCGCGTTTACGCGCTGACAGCGCGACGCGACGCCCGAAGGATATCCCGTCGGGTCCGGAATTATGGCTCGCATGCCGAAAGAGGGCCGACAAAAAGATTACGCGGTCGTCGGCGGAACGTGGCGAAAGTGCTGACCGAGTTGTCCGCCGGCGGCGAATCGATATTGCGCCGCGGATCGCGTCAAAACTTCCCAGCCGACGCCGCGGTTCATCCGGCGCTATCGTGATGCTCCGAAAGGCATTCGTGGATCAAAACGGATTATATTCCGGTGTCGAATGGCGGAGACACGTCCCACTCGTTCGCAGCAATTTACGCCGGCCGCGCGAGCCGCGATACGTGTTTTAGTGGCGAATTGACGGTTGACGACGAATTAACGGTGGTCAATAACATCGTGGTGGTCAATCGTGGCGGAATTCATAGCATAGTTGCGTTATCCGCAGCGTGGACGGATATTGGCGAGGAATTGGCATAATTCACCTCGCGGTGACACGTATAAATCATTTCGTCACCCTACGACGATCGTAAACAAGCCGAAACCGCAGTTAAAAACGCAATTATGTTATCTCAAATAATTATTATATATTGTGCAAATTATTATTAACCATTTTACACCATTAATTACTATGTTTATACGAGATCGATAAGCATCGATGCTGCGGTCACCCGTACACGAGCGATAACACGGAGTAATATTTTGAAATGTGAACATTCGGTGAAACTAAATGTCACCAAATTTTTATTTTTTCAAAATAATTAATTTAACTTTTGCAGATGTTTTTTTTTATTCTATGAAAGCACAGGGAGATTTTCCACTTGGAATATGTTACGCAATGATATAAAAGACAATAAAAATTAGAAACACGATTATTGGACAAATCACTATTATAAATTAATATATAAAAAAATATAAAAAAATGTTTTGGCTACAATTTCGGACTTCCTTTAATTTGATAAGATGTAAGGAAGGAAGAAAAATGTTTAGATTGCATGGAAAATATTAAAAAAATATATAAAACTAAAATAAAAAATATTTATATATATATATATATATCGCATTTTTCATTTATATTTATTAATTTATAATAGTTAACGACCGCGGTTTTGGTTCTTATTGTCTTTTATATTATTGTTTATCCTTAAAAAATCACACGCGTTTCATACTATTTCACATTAGTGACTGCATTTTGTTTAGACATATTTTCTTTTCCCGCGTTTAATGGAATTGGGAGCAGAATTCCTTCAGAATTCCCCAACGGTGACAAGGAGGGAGGGAAGTTTCTCTCGCTGTATGCATCTATATGTACGCGCGAGTTGATGAGATCGCGAAAGCGGTTTCTAAGAGGGCAAGGGCTGCTCTTACCGTAGCACCGTATTTCACCGGCGCCGCGGTGGCACCCGTTCTACTGTGTCGCGCGACGCTTCGATCGAAACAAAACCGAAATGGTAATGCTCACGAGTGCGAACGGGACAGAATTTAGCGCAAACGGCGATGGGTACGGTCGCGCGCGCACGGGCGTCGCGCCCGCACACAGAGCTTCGTAAATGGGATTAAGACGAATGGTGCCTTAGTTTACCGCCGTGACGTCGTCTCGAAACGCTCCGCGTGCGTTGCTTTCATTTTGCCGGAATTACTGCCGGATGTACTGCAGATTGCGCCGCGGGAAAAGGGTGATTAGCTATAAGAACACGGCGCAGTTTCCCGATTGCAGTTTCGATCTTCCTGCAGGCGCAGATAAGGCGGATTAGCTCTTGTTTCACGGGAGTCTAAAATTATGACGTCGACGGGCATGTGCTGCACATGTAGACATAGTGCAACATCTTGTAACTTATCATCTCTCGTGCAGTATATAAAATATATCGATGATACAGTCCCGCTCTAGAGTCGATTTATTATTTTTAACGGTATCGTGCTGAAAGTATATTTCGAAAACAAAATACAACCGTTTACACTGTCGCGTTTCTATTCTTTTTACGCGTAAGAAGTGAAGAGTGATGTTTATCTATCATTAATACTTGGTAAATTTATATCTATTTTTGTTATTGTTATAAAAGCTTTCTTTTTTAAAAAATTCTCAAGAATTATGTAATGAACAGAAGATGTATATTTTTCTTATAAAACCGTATTTTATACACCTAATTTTACAATCAATACATTACATTTTACAATTAGTAAATGAAACAGTCTGCCAACACTGTTTGATTATGTAAATTACGAATAACTGACTTTTACAAGATGTGCGTGCACATTTTTCCAATCGACGAAAATCAATTGTTCTCATCTTGCAATCAGAGTCGGCCAAATGAAAATTACACAGTAGCTGGCCGGTTAAAAAAATATATATACCGGCAGGATATTTTTGTTGGCATATTTACGGCGAAGAAAAGTCAACACCGCGAGAAAGCAAGAAAGAGTTAGAGCACGAAACACACGAATAGGAGCTTGATGTTGTTCAGCGGTGAATAAGCTGTGAAATATTGAGCGCTGCGGATCGCAAAAAGGCAGTATTAGCATGCAGAATTGTGTTTCGTGTGTAGAGTGCAGGTGTTGTACGTGCATCCATATTGATCGTATCAACGACACGATTGCCGAGCGAAACGGTTTGTACTTCGCGTGGTATACTTCACAACCCTCGATAAAGTTACGAGAGAGGGACTTCCAAACCGAAATCCTTTGATCGTGTTGGAGACAAGCCATCCGCACAGTTTCAAGCGCCCGCTCTTCGAGAACCCACTTAGCCTGCGCGAGGAGATAGGGTCAATTCGCTCGAATCGCTGCTAGTCGGAAAGTCAAAACGACTTGAAGAATTCCTCTCACAGCTGGACTCTTTCAGCATGTCAGTGATTGAATCGTCTTCTTATCTGCCAGCGCTTTTGCCTCGCAGGTTCTTACGTTTATACGTGCTTCGATCGAAAGCTCGAAATTGCGAGCAATAATTTATTAAATCTATGATGGATTTATTTACTCCGAACGCCTAACGTTAATGCGTAGAAAATTATCTACGTTTTTATGCATAAAAAAAATTGGTTACTTTATTGCGTGTTAATTTATCATTATGACATTAATGTCACCGGAAAAAAGAACATTTTATATATGCAGTGTTAAATTATTCTAAATGAGATAAAATCTCATTCTCGCTTTTTATCGTGTATCAAAAGTATTAAAATTATATAGAAAAGGATTAGTCACGAATTTTTCAACCTCTTATTCAACGAGGTGATTAAATTCACATGAAACAGTGAGCAAAAACCGGAACCGCGTAGTAGACCATTATTAAAAATACGCGCGCCGCGAAAATGATACGCAAAGAAGTGAATAAAAAGTTATGCATATACATATTGTACTTGTTAAAAAAATGGACGATTCTTGCGAGCTAATATTACTTGATTTGGAGTCATATAATCTTTCATAATATTTCGTGCGGTTATTTTGCAGGTTTTATCCACGAACGCGAGATTTTGTATTTTTGCTATACAAGAGAGTAAAGGTTTTCTTTTCTCATTTTGCGTTTACCTCCATCCCATTCTTTTCTCGCGTATGTTAATCTACAATACTGTCCCAACTAGCGGCAAATCTTGTTTTTCTGGAAAATAATACATTGAAAATAAAGCAAAATCTTTTTTACGATTTTTTTCGCATTATTTATAGGCAACATGTTGAAACGTTGTAAATATCGAAGCTACTGTAAAGGTGCAAATAAACCATTAACAATGCATCAATTTTAGCGATATTTTTTAAAATTGTTTTCTCACCGCAAAATAAACGACACGAGATATTACATGGATTCGGTCAAAAATAGAAATCAAAAAGGCGAAAATATTTTGAATTTGAAATAAATTTAAAACACGTTTTACATATGTATACACGTGCGCTATTCGTACTCGTTATTATCGTTATTATTTTTTATTTTTATTCACCTCGCGTGAATGTGTGTACAAGCGTCTATTTAGCGCAGCCACGCAACACGCTATGCAACATGTGTAATAACCGCGATTAAGCGATACGGAGATTTCAGCCACGAATACAAGCTGTCCGTATTATCATTGTAGATGGATCTTCAAGCCGGCGCACGCGGATGAGATTACAATCCGCGATAGCATCTAGTTAACGGCATAATTCGTGGATTCCACACTTCGCGTCTTCTAAGACAAAGGTTAATAGCATCTACGTGTAATTCCTTTGATCGCAGGTATCTAATCTAACATTCAATATGCCAGTGTGATCACGCGTATCGCGGTTTATAGATCCTGGGGATGTTCCTAGGTCCTCGGCTTTCCATCAGTGTATAGGAACGGAATTAATTCCCATCAATTCCCATCAATTTCTCGCAAATAAACGCCCGGGATTTCTATTACGCGTTTATTATGTTTAGGATAGAATAGTTCCAAGAAATTTTCCTATTACGCCTCTTCTTTAATATAGGAGAGAAAATTTAAGGAGGCGCGCGATTTTACGGTGAATTTTTTAATTAAATTTTTCTCCGTTTGATTACAAAATTTTTTTATTAGTAAATAGTTCAAATTTTGATTAGCGGAAAATTAACATTGTGTTAACTGAATACATCATAAAATTTTCTTTGTATTATTCCACTCGGTATATCACGGTCGATACATTGGGGCGAATCTAAATAGTGAAACCGCGAGGTACGTCAGTCATTATTATTCTTGACTCTTATAATAATAGCCATTACCGCGCTATGAGAGCTTGCATGTAATTAGCATACTAATTAAGAATAATATAGTGAACCTAATTATAATATAATAATTTGTGGTGTATTGGCTAATGCGCACTGGCGATTTATTTCACTTCATCGAGCATTATCAAGCATATATTCCATAATATATTTATTATTCCATTTGTGCGACAAATGGAGAGAGGGGATAAATATTATCCAGATAATCCTGCAATCCGTTTCTGCTGCAATTTACTATAGTTTTTTTACCTAATTTACAATTGTTCTCTAAATTTGTAATACATTGTAATTTAATATTAACTGTAACCACTTTAGCACACACATTTCGTTCAAATAAAAGAATATTGTATTGAATTCTTAAAAAGACAATCTCAATCAAGAGTATTTGATTAAATCTAGAAGTATTTTTCAAAGTATGTATTATCAAAGGTAGAAAATGATGCGAAACTTTTTATCAAAATGAATAATTAACACACACTCTCTCTCTCTTTCTATTATATCTTCTTACACGCAAGACTCGATCGCAACAATCCAAATGCATTCGATAATTGCTTCTCCAAAATGCGATGCATCAAAATAACTCGACGACTCGGATCAATTTGTTTGGCGAGAAATCCATCGTCGTGGATTCGTTCGGGGACGAACACGTTTTCCCACTCTTACGTTACTTTCTCGCGAACTCCAGCTCCCTTTTCCTTCGATCCGTCGTCGATATCGTCCGGTGCGCGATTGTCGGGGAAGTGCACGAGGCGGGTCAGCATCGAGACTATCGACGGGATCTGCTTCTTCGCGTCGAATCTCTCGTTCTTTGGTACGTACGATTGATACTCGATGGCGACGCGGCGATTCACGAAGGTCATTAGGCTGAGTAGATCGCGGCTGCGCCCGTGTAGATCCAGCTCCTCGCAGAGCGCCTGTATGAACCAGGAGCCCGCGTCCGGGTTGCGCCACGAGTAAAAACCTGAAAGCCGTAACGCGCGGTTTACTTCCGGGGCTGTGTAGTGGATTGCTTCGCTTCCGCTACATAATGAGATACACTTCGCTCGAGCGTCCGCGAGACGCATTCCGCGCTCGCAGTGCCGGGGCTCTCAGTAAGATGGATGCACCAATGATCCGTGACCTGTAATAGCAAGGGATGGTAGCGATATGAGACGGAAATGGGAATTTAACATATCGACCTTCGCGCGTGGACTGAAGTACACTTTACGTTGATTGCATGCACTTGACGTGTTCATACTTCTTCTTTTTTTTTTTTTTTTTTAAGTACATTAAAGTGTGATTTTTGGCGAAAATGTAATTGTTCTGAAAGAATAGTTTTAGATGCGCGATTATTTGTAAAATAGAAATATACTCTTTTTAATAATACTGGAAAAGATTTTGCGAAATAAATTAATTGAAGCGTCAGACACACAGTTTGCCTCACAGAGTTGACAGATTTGTTGCGAATTCGAGTTAAACCTGCCCCTAATAAAAAGTTGCAGCTTTCCAGGGCAATAAGTTTAAATTAATTTCAACTTTCCCCGCATACGAGCAGCCGCATACTCCACGCTAATTGTGTTGCACGGAACAGATATATTTTAACCCAGAATTACAAAGTTGGATGTTACTCGCATGCAACACTTCAACTTCTTAGAAAAGCAGCGTATCCTACATTTAGACGGCGTTATGTCTTGGGTTTAACGGGGGTGAGATTAAGTGAATTAGCATGTGGCTGGATGACGAAATTACGCAAAACACAATCCCTATTAAGGACATTCATTTAGCGCGCGTGAGAGAATTATTTAAAAAAAAGTACGTGGAAAGTGTTATTAATTTTATTATCAGAAGACTATTATGCTATCCCATTTGTTTGGCGATCTGATTTATTCCAGTACTTGGCTTTAATTGCTCGAAAGTGCGCGCGAACCCGCGATCGCAATGACGATGTAAAATCGGAAGTAGAACTAACGCGATTATAAACTGCAAACTTTCGGCGTAGATTGCAGTCCAAGTGGAATTAGCGTGAGACGCTAAAGTAAGTCGTCATAAATAGTTTTTAGCATTATCGTTTAGTTCCCCGATTTGCTCTTAGGCCCGCTTGCGCCGACGCCGATTAGCTCGGAATTCCCCTTTTCCAACTGTGTATTATTACTGTGTATTACATGTAGCACTGCTGCATTCCTGATTCTCTCTAATCTTGGATTACTTTGCATGCGCTATGATGCACACCCGGGATCTTGCTGCATCTAGAACTGTTTAATTATTCCGCCTCTTATGTCGCCTCTTCCGTTGATTTCACTCGGAGAGCTTATCATCATACTTGCTTTAAACATGTTGCGGTCAATTCACTCGTAAGTCCTCTCCTGAGGTACTAAAAGCTACTTATCTAGTCTCGTCGCATTTCACCGTTGATTTCTCGGTCAAAGACGCTTTGAAGTTACGTGACATTCAAGATGGGATCTGATGTGCGTGCGTGCAAATTCTAATCTTGAAACTATTTTATAGGCCAGTGAGAAAGAGTCGCGAACGTTGTTGACGATGTGAAATTAATTAAACTTTCTAATCGTTGATTAAAATTATAAATTTATAAATTTAAATTTATTTTTTGGTATACACAAGATTTTGTTTACTGTACATACTTGTTTTTATTTTCGAACTGGAGCTTGAACTACATCGTTGTAAAGTGAAAAGTGAATTATTAACTACATTTACATGTTCACTATTATTCTATGTATACTCGACGATCTACAAATTGGACGTTAGCGGACAAAGGGTTAACACACTTCAGAGATCAATTTGAGATTGATGCGTCAAAGTGACCGCAAATTTGAGTAATTGGACAATTACGATTTGGAATACGTATGAAAGCAGTAGATTGTATCGCGCATTGCGAAATATTTTACGGGGGAGACACGTTGTTAGAATAAGCAAAAACTATGTTTGCATCTACTTACCATTCAAGAATATGTAAGAGAAATCGATTTCTCGATATATTCCGACAACGTATTCTCCTTAAACAGCGTACATAGCGCGCGCCAGATTCTCTCCGCAGCTATTTTCACCTACGGATTTTACAACTAATACGTAGTAAGCTTTTTTTTGCAATAAAAATCCAAGTAATCATTTTTTAAAGATTTAAATTGACGGAAAATAAAAGTCTTTCTGGAGAAAATCAAGAGTGCAGTTAGATAACAAAATATTATTTTTCATTTAACTTCAAGCGAATTTTGCTTTAACAGAATTTTAATTAGGAGTTTAATTTTTGAAAAATATTTCATATAAAATATTTTAAAACCGTGAAAAGAATGTAACATTAATGTAACATTTTGCGAGAAAGAAAAATTCGATACTCTGCAAGCGATTGTTGGAGCGGTTAACAAAAACCCAGCGACGCGACACAACTTGTGTAAAGACCTCGATGTTAACGGATGCATACGTACTCGATGATGTATTAACCGCGTGTTGGGTTCCATAGTGAAGTGTTAAATGCGTGTCCCCTATCACCATCGGTATGTTAACTATGCGCTTATCTCCTACGTGGCATATTAATGACGCCTTTAGCATCCGGCCAGGTGTTATCCGCGGATTCAGTGCCACCCGCGTTATTAACAATACGTCCACTTCCTGCATATGTTAGACTATCAAACTCGCGCATACACACGCCCCCCCCCCATACACACACACCCACATATTAACACGCGTTCTTCCTTGGGATATTAATAGCGCGACCGTCCGCATACCACGCATATTACATTATATCGCAACCATTGTCCAACTACTGCGGGGCCACTATGTTTAATCGTTGCGTACGTACCTCTCCGAGTATTTAAAAAATTTATTACTTAATTTGCTGCAATTATCACAATTATTTCGAAAAAGTAATAATCGTTGAACGCCGATTACGTTATAAATAAATACCTTGGAAATTTGTATCGTATTCAGCGTACGGTATTGACCTGCTAATATCGATTACGTGTACGATCGCAGCGAGTGCAAAAATGTTACGGTTACAGGAAAAGCGCCGTGAACCGGCAAACACACACGCCTTCTGTTTCTATCATAAACAAATCTTGTTTGCCGGGCTCGTTTAATACGATGGACAGAGTATATTCGCAAATATCATTTCGCAGAATACACGCGTATTACATAAATTCTGTTTACCCACCTTAATCGATGCGGTAGACATGAGTAAAGTTGCGCATAGCCGGGTAAAATTTGCAGCGTATTTTCACAAACAACTCGTGGCTGTATTAAATCCAATTTCAAAGCGGCGGATCTTAATGCATAAGTAAGCGGCTTTGCAGCGTATTTATTAAATTTAGTCGGGGGATAAACGTATCTTCCGGCTCTCTCATTTAAATCCGTCTTGGTTTTTTACATGTGTAATATACTGAGAGGGAAAATTATGTGGTACGAAAAATTCATTATATCTGACCGGCGTCATGCGCAAACGTTACAAAATGGGTTACGGTCGCGCTTTGATGCCAATGCGCTAATTGTGGCGGACGCGCAATACGCTTACTTTGATTATCCCGCTGACAGTCGACAAGTATTTTTCATTAATCCAGTTCCACGGGATTGACATCGCGTGGTATGCTTCGCCGTTACGCGAAATTCTCGTCCAGCGATCTGCCAACGCGTTTGTTGGTTTGTCGAGTTCCTGTTTTTTTTACTCCTGGTTTCTTTTTTTTGCGCATTGCCGGGCTGCCGCTTGCAATAAATCAGCGGAACTGCGAATCGTAACAAAGTTCGCGCCATTCGATTCCCGAATTTAGGCGAATCTCAGTCGGGAGTTCGCAATATTTCTTTTGTTACCTTCTGTGTATTCTCACGCATATTGCCACAATGCGTTTGCGTCGGCTTTGGAAAGTTCGAGTTATCGCACGGTTTCGTTTGAAATTGCATTTAAGGCGTCATCTCGAACTCCCCCGAACTTATTTCACGGAAGTGAGAATATAAAAGAAGTTCGCCGTATGTTTAGAGAAGTGATTTTTGAATTGAGGAAACGAGGTATTGGAAAATAGAACATGAGCGTGAAATTACAGCCATCAAAGTACTTCGAAACGGTAAAAACACATTTTTTATGAAATATTTTACGTCATGAACTACGCAAAATATTCTATTGGTTTCTAATAGATTTTATACATATGTTTAATAAACTGCGACAGTCTACAATTTAACGGAACGCTCTTAATAATCATATCTGCATAACGAGATAATTACGTCAGTTACAGTAATTCATCATTATAAATTTACATTTGATTAACAAAATTTATAATAATGAGATCATTAAAGTACGCAATTGGCAATTTGTCATTCATTAAATAATTTGCTGAGAGATAATAATTGCAAATTTTATTGTCGAGAAATAACACGATGTTACGTTTAATTCACTATCGCTATTATCTTAATTTGGCTTAATTAATACTTGCTTTGCTTAATTATTACTTTGCTAATTATTATTTAATTAATATTACACTTTTCCTTTTTTTTCTTTCTCTCACGATGAATACAACAATATATTTTTACGTTGATCTAACATATGAAGGCGATGAAAGAGAAACGGAAAAATGTATCACTACTTGGTCACGAACAGTCCGAATGGCCTTAAAATAACCGCCTGGACGAGCTTGGACGCTGTCCAACTTGAGTCATAGATCGTCCTTCTCTCCGTAAAAATGCTCATATTTGCTTCGTGTTTGTACAAACCGCGCTCATTTTTAAGCGTAAATATGCTTTTATTTTTTTAAGTGGGTAAAGAGATAACAATAATAATAACCACAATAATAAATTGTGAGCCTCGATATGCCATTTTACATTCGTACGATGTTTTAAAACATCGTTTTTTTCCTTGTCGAAACATATATGGCATAAATACGTTTGTGGTGCAATTCATGGTTTATTTCGATTCATTGCACAGCACTCTCTACATATTTCATGCAGCACAGCTGGTTTCGCGGGCGCGATCGTGGAAAATTTTATCGTTTCAAATACTCCAGGAATTTCTTTCAGATAGATTCACTTACCGTGCTTCAAATTTATATAGAGCTTCTCGGATCTTTTAATAAAAATAAATTAAAAATAAAAACTATTATTGCGCTATAATATATGCCATTTTTTATTATAATTAAAATTTTCTATTTTTTTAGGAATAATTTAATTACTTTGTGAATTTGTTAGAAAATGATCTTTAATAATAAACATTACTTTTTAAATTTAAACGTTATAAATGAATAAAATTCTAAAAATATTTTATTTATACAATGCATTTTAAAATTGACTTTACTTTATTATCAACTAGTTCTTATTTTATAAATATATTTCTAAATTTTTTACACGTTTTATCCAAAATTTAGTAGTGTTACTTTCAATTTTGTATAACTTTTATTAAAATTATCTATTTCTATATTACAATTTTATAAACTGTAATTTATAATCAAAATTATTTTAAAGCTTGAATCACGTTCTCGCGCAATTTCTTTAAATATCTCCGAGATGTGCGGTTATAAACGATGATGGGAAAAAAATTCTGGGGTTGAACTTGTCTGTACATCATTCAATCGAGCTCGAGCTATCGTATTTAGGTTATATGCTAAATGTAGTTGGGTTCACGAAGCAGTATTACGGATGCGCATGTATCGATTTATCAGCTGACTGATTGACGTTCTCACTAGACGCAGCATTGTTGTACCATTGGCGTGTACCACTGTCAACATAGATCCTCGCACTCCATTAGCAATAACAGATCAAATATTTGCACGACTGGAAATCGCGCGAGAATGTGTACGCATTATGCTGGAAACCTTCGTTGATGTGACTCGCGTAATAAAGTGCATTTTGTAACTTTTTCAGCGATTTTTCACATAAGTATGAGAGAATGTGTATGATTTTAACTAAAGTCTTTAAAGTTATCGTTGAGATTTGACATACATAAAAGTTTTCCTTCGAATCGAGAATTTATATTTAAAAATCCCGGATTTATTCAAAGAATTATAGATAATACTACGCGAAATAACAATCAAATGCATTGATTGGTATTATAATTGAAAATTTCAGTCGGCTCGTACCGGTGGTATTGAGTTGCAAATAATATTGGTTTACATTTATTAACGAGATTTGGTTGGGGTGAGCGGCGGAATGCCAGGAGACGGGGATGTAATTGAGGAATCGACGTAGATTACCTATGCATCAAGCGCTTACGTTCGCGTGAAGCCTGTATTATTCAAAATAAGCAGCTTATGACGCTATAGAAACTCGGACTCGTGCGCAAGAAGAAGCGCTTAACTCGCATTTGTTCGCATCCGTTGTTTATTGTTTAGTAATCGAGTATACGTTTCGTTAATACTTGATGCTTCACGCTCGACGAAGTATGAAAACTGGCCTGGAACGCGTTTCAATGCAATTATCGTCGAGAGTTTGAACGCTGTCGGCCGTTTAGGAGAGGCAACGAAATTTAAAGCGCGGCAAGAAATATACAAATGAGAAGAGAATGAGACGTAATAAACGCGCGCAAGGTATCTCAGTTGAATGAACCAAATTTAACGACGGATCCTTTGACGAATTTCCGCTCGATTTTGCCTTAACAAGAATTTAACGGGAAGTCATCACAACATTTTATAATCTCGACTTGAATGACAAAATATAAATTTTAACGTTATAATAAAATTTTAAATATACAAAAATAATATTTTTGCAACTAGTACATTTAAAGATGAGCTCAATTTTTAAAACAGGATTTTATCCAAAAGTTGTTATATTTTCTGCATTAGTCCTGCATCGAGTTTTTTGATAACCTGAACAATTTTCCACTTGACATATGCGAGTTTGACTGTTTGATTTATCGCGTATACCTGCAAATACCCCCAACATACAATGTCTGCGTATACATGCTAACGATGGTTACCTAAAGGCTTGAAATGTGAGTAAACATCCTCATTAGCGAGCACCATATAGCGTGACCGTTCATTATTTGCATACCTTTATTCAAGCGGTAAGCATCGTTATTTTTTTTAACCGCAGTATACTCTCGATTATCTGAACGTGCAATACCATCTGTAATATAATTCTTTTGCACTCTCAGGTATAGCGTAACATGTATTAAAACGTTACAGAAAATAATAATTTTTTAAAGGCTTTTGCATCTCAATTAATACATTACTAGAAATTTTTCTATTATTATATATCAACAACACATGACGATATTATGTTTATTTTATTACTACATTTAGATATATTTTTTTTATTATTCCGAAAAGCTGTAGCATATCTTTTAATGCCGCTGTGAAATTTTTTGCCGCTCCTATTTCGACGAATTAAATAAAAATTATGTTATATAATATTTATCAGCCAGATTATCCGCGGATAATCGAGAGTGTACTGCATATTCCTATAGTTCTTCGTAACGCCGTCATACACCCGGTGCTTTCGTTCGGATTCCCTGCATTATCTCGGGTCATGTAGTTTGGAATAAGGGGCTTACGCGCGCACTTGTATACGACAACACCTATCCGATGTATTCACGCGTATATGCAGGACGGCTCAGAGCCGCCCAGAGCTATCATTCACTCTGCTTTCAGGTTTTAGGTGTATAAATAAATGAACAAGCCAAAATCAATAGTATTTAAAGACCGTTATGTAAAACAAAATCTTTACGTGAAAAATGAATAAAAAATTTTTTAAATAATCTGTTAAGATATGTTAAATACAAAATAATTTTGCATACAATAAGTAAAAGGGAACAAACGGAAGATAAAAGCTGCTTTTAACTTTGACAAGATTAGTTTTTCGAATTATGATGATTGAGCATTTTCTACATATTCAACTTAGAGAGCACTACACATTCTACAAATCTGCATTATTTTTTTTTAATATTCTCTATAGATATGCAATAGTGTTGAAAGCAACTCTTTCAATTTTCAGTGTTTAAAAACAACTTTCTTTTTTCGCTTCTGCTACGAAGACTACTATTCAATAAATTGATATCAGCAATTGCGCTATAGACTTTTTGGTTCAATTATTGTGTTTTCAATTTGTTTGTGTTTTCAAGTCAGTGGTAATTCTGAAATTTTCTGTATATACATACACACTCACGTATATACATATATACTCACGTATGCAGTTATAATACATACCGTCGTAAGTAGAGTACGCGACCATAATATCTGCATAGGCGGGGATGCTGTATGTAGTCCTCTTACTATCTGTCTCATGAATAATTCTCACCCCTCTGTCCAGTCGCGTCCCGCGGCATGCCTGCGGAAAAGAAAAATGCGCGCGTGAGCGACGATACTAGATTTTCCCGGCACGTAAAAGATGCATGGGATCCGCGGGCGGTGCTGGCTTTTCTTCGCGCGAAAACGCGAACGTTCTGCGAATTGTTTAAAATGCTTCAGCATAGTCGTCGTAATCCGATTCGGGACATTATTAAAACATTCACGAAACAGATAACCATGTGATCGTGTGCGCTCAGCGAGTGACGAGTTGTAAATTTTCGAAGAAAAGCTCGTTCGATTGTTCCACGATTTTCGGACTTAGCTCGTCATATTTGATATTTAGAGAAATTACATTCCAACAATTAATAACGCATCGATGGCAGCTTTCGAATTTAATGGATCTCATTTGTTCTGATAAGGTTAAGAATTGTTCTCACTTTTACGGTAAGTCCGCGCGTTAGTAGCTCGCTAAATGCTTAATGGCTGACGATCGTGCCGTAATTAGTTTTCTTAGAAACTGGAACACACACGGGACAATTACACGCAGATCTATCGATGTTTACGACGTCGTTAACGGAAGACGAGCGACTCGAACGGAAGTGCAGCGAGATATATACGTGCCACTTACTCGAGGCTACCGCGGCTGCACACAGCTTCCGAGCGCGCAGAAAACGGTGCTAATTCCGATAAATCGCGATAAATACGGGCCGAATTTGCGTCCGCTCAATTTACGTCGTTTACAAATCACAATAATTTTACTCACGGAATTATAATTGGCTATTATGTAGTTAAAATCACAAATATGTATCGAGTGAATTATTAATTCGCAATTTAACTTTATTTAACAGCGTTTACGTAGACATAAATTAGTTAAATGTTTACGCGTTGCGTTAATCGAAAACATTTGTATGTATGTATTTTTTAAGCGATTAATATGAAGTAATTGATTTTTGATCAATATTCGATATTTTCACATTGAAATTAAGATATACAGTCGAACTCTCTGCAAATTGAGATAATAAATGGCCAGTGGCCGAGCATATCCTGTGATCTTCCCCCAATCATATATTAATAAAACATTTATATTAATTAATATCTATCAATATAAAATTCAAAAATAATATTGAAAATACATCTGTAAATTAAATTTGAGTATAAGAAAAGTTAAGAGAATTGTTGTGCAATATTAAATTACATAACAATTAACACAATAAACTGAAATATTACAGGAGACAATTTAAATTGAGCCTAACAATTTTATTAAGACCAAATAATATTTTATAGTGCTGTGCAAACAAACATTTTTATCAATTTTAGAAACAAATTTCTAAAATTTTGTATTTAAGAAATATCTTTTGCATATACTTCTGTAATATATTATGTCCAGACGGTTTAATTGACTATTAATCGATAATCCTAATCTTGATTTTATGTTAAATAAACGTTAATTTTTGTTATGTGAAGATCACTATTTTTAATAGTGATAAGTTCTTAAATGCTTGGTCATTTAGGACACATTTACTTCATCATCTCTTCGGACTTTCGAATGCACGGGTGTTTTCCACGAAAGGCTAGATTGCTAATCATTCCAAGCTTTACGATAGCTAACTTTATCGGGCTCATTTATCCCCGTCGCACTTTATCTTCGGGATCACCGATCCTCCAACTCCATTCGAGACGAAAGCGGTAATTTCGAAAGGTATCCGGCCAGTTGGCTTTCCGGTTCTTTTTCTTTCGTGACAAGTAAATTACAATCATTGTTGAAATAGTCGCTCTTGATGGATCGTCGTTTCGCACTATCTCTGCAATTGTGTCCGATGTACCGGCCAGCGATTTTTAACGATCGGAAGCTGTCGACACCCCGTGTCTCATTTCTAAATTCTTAATTCCATCTTGCCGCGACTTTTAAAGCCGGAAACGGTTTCCCGTTACTGGCGGACTTCATAAAGCATTCCCGTCACGAACGGATTCCGTAACCTCTATTACGGTAGATGACATTTAAAGCGTTCCGTATGTATGTACAATCCTCATATCATAGAATTGCAAATGAAATGATCGGCAATAAATTTTCCGTAATGAGTGTGATCGTATAAAATTACAGTCCGTATGAATCTCGTAATGAAATTAGATCACTTATCTCCTTTTCCGTATTACTTGAATATGTATGCGTGCATACGAACGCCACGCGACGAATGCGAAGCCTGGTAATGACGTATCCTGCGTGTTTCCCAAGCTACGTTCCGCTGTTTCAAACTGTTCGCGCATTCGACCGAGCGAACAGTTTTACGCGTCAAGCAGCGCGGAAAGAGAGCGTGACGGAAATTACTCACGGATTAAAAAAATAAATAAAAAAAAAAAATGGCGAAGCACACGTATACAAAAATATATAGAATATCGCGCGTCGTGAATTCGCCGCTTGACGTTTTTTTTTAATTCGGCCGGCGGTGAAATCCTCAAAACGATGCACGCGTGCATTATTTCAGGAATTATGCAAATAACAGTTTTCGCCGTCGCGCTCTCCCTTCTCCCGGCGCGGAGAGGTAGAAAGGGGGAGGGGGGTAAGGGCGGGGAGTAATCTTAATTACTGCAGGCGCATCGCGACGCTCGGCGTCCTAGCGCGCGAACAGGTTCCATTACATTGCAGAATGCACATATTTCATTGGCCGCGCCCGCTAAAAACCCGACGGTACACTAATGTGCACTAGCCCGCAAATCCCTCGGAGATCGTCGTGAGGCAGATAAATGGCGAGTGTCTCTAAATGGAAAACGATCTCGGCAGGATTATGCCGGGGGAGAAAGAATTAGATCTAGTGCGGCATTGTTGCAGGAATTATGCGACCACGTCGACTTAATCGTTTTTGCGGGATACAGACGATCGTTGCAATTATGCCATTCTCATTTGCGACGCACCGCGACGCGACGCGACGCGACACGACGCGGCGCGGAAAGGGTACGCTGTATTTGTAGTTAACTCTCTTTCCGCAGCGTTCGCAGAGAGTGAGTCATCCATTTTATCATCATCTATTTCAACGTCATCTATTCCCATCCATTAGAAACGCGATCGCAGGAATTCAGAAGAAAACTTTTCCGCGGTACTTTTAATGAAAAATACGCGGATAATGGATATCAATAACAGATATTATAACCTGTCGCTTGGAAAAAATTGAACAAGAAAACGCAATTTAAAATTATCGAAATATCAGCAGCGTTGGAATAGCGAGTAAACGATTTAAGGGCTGTTAGATAGAAGCAGTTGGAGCAATTAATATAGTTGATTAAAGTATGTTTATTTAAAAAATTATATACAGAATACTTTGAATTGTATAAAATAAAAGTAACGATATTCTGTGTGCCAAATTCGATGGACTAAATTTTTAGCAATGATTTTATTCGCTTTTCCGAATCAAGATAACCGACATGGATATTCTCTCTTGCAGTTCCGAGCATGCGGGATATGCCAATCGCATTTCCGGCTAACTGAATTTATAACTGTCGCGCAAGAATATTCTGCATCAAAACCAGAAAACATAATTATCTTTTTTTTTTCGCTCTCGTGCCGTTGGTTCTTAATGGCGACGTTGTTAAAATACAGTCGGATTTTTGTGAAATGCAACTTTAGACAATGTAAGTTTTATGTGATAAAGTTACACATTTCACGTTTTGTATTATTATTTTTAGATTATCTACGAATTAATTGCACGCACAATTTCAATTGCGCAAAAAAATATTCGAATTCTAAGATACTTGCAAAAAGTTTCCAGTAAAATCAAAAGATACTTAAAAAAATAAAGCTGCTCGAATTCTTTCGTGAGTCACTGTAATGTTGGAAGTAAAATTTTCAGAGGATATTCAAACTTGAGAAATAGACTATTTGAAGAGTGCAATTAACTCTTCAACACACACACATCAATCTATACAAATATATTAACTCATAAATCACTTCCTCGCGCGACCCGCATAAATCTCCCGCGAATTACTCAGCGTGTAACGCCGCTTAGATGTTTCAATCCGGATGATCCATCATGAGATGAGCGCGCGAGAGTGTGTAAAGTGGCTTCGCTTCTTTTGAAAAACGCGTATCGTCATTGTTCGTCGGCGTATGGTTTGCGCGTTCGCAGGACGATTCATCCGCGATTCATGTATATCGGCGCATACCTGTTAGACAGCGTACCTGAATGAAGAACAACTTTGGTTTCCCGGCCAAGCTGGTGCATCGATCGCCCGTGAAGGGAACCCACAGCATATCGACTGGATACAGGCTGTCGGTCGAATGCAATAGACCCGATTCGCCGTGTGAC